AACTACTCATGGATTAGAATAATATTAGCTCTAGCCTGTATGGTCATTACTTTATTTATGGCCACTATCAACATTGTAAGTATATTTAAGCATAGCACAAATCAAGTCAATTATTGTGATTCAACCCTTCTTTCTGTATTTACTTTTATTTGTTAGCGTGATTTACATAAAAGCTTTCACATGTAGGCTTATCGAAATATCTTTATATGAGAATATGATTTTAACCAATAAAAACGACCTTTTTCGTGCTTGTAGTAGCTAGTAGAATATTAAATAAATGACTTTTGTGTTCATATTTACAAAAACAAAACATAACTAGAGCCACACGTGGCACAGAGTGGGACTTTGCAAATGTAGCAAAATGCTAAAGACTCTGAAAAAATCAACCTTCTACGATAATTACATCACGCGCAAGAGCAGTCTAAAGTTGAGAAGAATTGTTTGTAAGATTGTTATAACGGAAGTAGACAGCCCTCACAAATGAAAGTATCAGAAGATAGCCAAGGTCAATGACATTTGACATTGAAAGGGAGACGGTCAACAAAGGTCAAGGTTACGAGATACAAGTCATCCAAATTTTTAATTATATACGGCTATAAAACCGGAAGTTGAGATAGGACAGCAAATATAAAAGTATAAATAGATAGCCAATGTGAATGACCTTTGATCCTACAAAAATCAGGGTCAAAAAAGGTCAAGGTCAAAAATTGAAAATTTTGAATTTTCAAAACCTGTTCCTTTTTTTGAACTATAAAGCTGAAACAATCGAACTTTTTAAGACAACGTGGCTCAACGAATGAAGTAATTGTATGCAAAGTTCCATTTTGAACAAATGTAAACGTTGCGAGTTATGTCCCTTGCCAAAATTGTCAATAATGAGTAATTTAACCCGGATGTGCTACGCCCACCTCAATTTCTTTTGCATAGGTTAATTGATATTCTGAATGTTATGTTGTGTTCCAAATTTAAAGCTTCTACATCATACAGGTCAAAAGATATAGGTCAACAAGAGTCAATAAAGGTCAAAATAG